AACAATAACATTTTACGCACAAATCTTTGTTTTTTTATGCTCAATCAACCGTTTTTTATGGATTGTGGAAGGTTAACGGTGCCATTGGGAATCGGAGTTTCACATTTGTCAAAAATTCCCACGGTTCGACAAAGATGTGCTGTGTGAAAAAGGCATATTAGGAACATCCCATACGGATGGTTGATTTACTGGGACATTTTCGGAGCGGCATAACCGTACGGACCAACCCAGAAATGGATGTTGGATGATCGGCATTGTGAAAATGCTCTTAGTTCTGCCTCATTCTTTATTATTTTCTTTACTTGTAATACCATCTGTTGCTATGGTCACCTTTACACTTCATCGCCAACGTTCTTCTGACCGCCGTCGGCGACATTGCATCGTTTTCACATGCTTGCAGATTTCAACCTCAGCTGAAATTCGCCTTTCAAACCGCAGGACGAAAAGACCCGCTATTCAATTCTTTTTCAACTTGTCAGGTCTTAACTCCACATTTTACAATTCTCACAATTTACAAAATCTCACTTCTGACACCAGTTTTTACGTTTCTACGCTACGTAATTCCAAGTTATAGCCTAGTACTCAGACGCTCCGTTGACCGAAAGTGCCATATATTCCGCCCGGTGCTCAGGGTGACCAAAGCGGGCAAAGTGTATGATATATGATGACCCTACACCCACACCCGGGGCCCCCACCCGAGCCACCGCCCGCGGCCCGACGAGCATCCGACCAGGGGCAGGCCACGAACACCCGAGGGGCCGGCACCCACCCAATAAATCTCGTTTCTATAAAAAGTTCAACAGAACTGGTTCGCAATCTGACTTCTCTAAGTATTCAATCGCTGAGAGTAAATTTTTGTTATTTAATAAAACATGTTGTTTGGCTATTAAGAGTTTTTAATAGCCGTTGAAACTCGTTTGATTTTAAGAAAAAAGTCTAGCGTTTCAATGGGTAATGTACAATTTATTTTGTATTGGTAATGTAAAGTAGGCGTCAGTATGACCGATATAATAAAGCGATGCGATTGATACGAAGATTATCTCTCAACTAGCTACAAGGGCAAATGGGCCGACTTGCCAGCGCCCTATGCAGCAAGTGTTGAAACAGAGCGAAAACGAGCGATGAAAGGAGACCAGATCGGGGCAGATGCTAAGCCGAGCACGAACGTCATATGGAACGCAAGAGACCAGCTTAGATGCTGAAACTGCAACAACAAAGCGAAGAAGGCGAGATAAAATGAAAGAGCGGCCGCTGCCGAGCATAACATAGGCTGATTAACAATGATTTGTACAGTGCAAATAATGAACATAATTAAATAATATTTAGGCTGCTTGACCCAACACATGTTATAGATTAACAAATTTTATAAACATGTTATACTACCTATCCAAATGTAGACTTAACTTCAAGCGTGATCCGAAGCAATTTTTTAGGTTTGTCAACTCGAAACGTAACTCTTCCCAATTTCCGTCATCTCTTTCTTTTAATGGCAGCAAGGCTGATAACGACTGTGATATTGCTAATCTTTTCGCTTCATTTTTTCAACTCTGCTACTCAGTTAATACCTCTAATAACCATCCCTCTATTCTGGCTTCTTATGACATACATTGTCCCAATCAATCTTATCCTTTCCACATGAATAGTTCTAACTGTATCTATTCCCCCTTCATCGACTTAATGGCCTCTTAATTAATTGTTGTCCCTTATTCTCTGAATCGCAGCATGGATTTGTAAAACGTCGGTCTATTTCTTCTAACCTCCTGGAATTCTCCACTTTCGTGCATGAGGGTTTCGCTAAGCAATCTCAAACTGACGTAGTCTACTGACTTTAGTAAAGCCTTTGATTCAGTAAATCATAATCTGCTTATACATAAATTATCTCTCCTAGGGTTTCCGCCTAAAATTCATTTCTGACTTAATGCAATGTCTGTTTTAATAACTCTCTTTCTAAGCCTGTTTCTGTATCGTCGGGGGTACCTCCAGGTAGCCATCTTGGCCCTCTGTTGTTTAATTTTTTCATCAATGATCTTCCCCAAGTCTTAACTCATTCCCGAGTACTTATGTATGCGGACGGTGTGAAGTTATGTTTCTCCTATAGCGACCCCATGCCCCCGTTATGTCTCCAATCTGATATTGACGCCTTTAACAACTGGTGCTTAATAAACATTCTTCCCCTTAACATTTCAAAATGTAACGTCATGACATTCCATCGCAGCAAGCCTTACCTTTTTGACTACAATATCCATTATTGGTCCCTAAACCGCCTTTACAAAATTACTGACTTGGGAATTATCTTTGTACCTAATCTGTGTCATGACTCACACACATCCGCTATTTCGAATAAAGCCAGAGGCGTCCTGGGCTTTATCAAAAGATGGTCTAAGGAGTTCACCGACCCCTATACCACTAAACTTTTATCCTTGAATACGGTTCCTGCGTTTGGTCTCCGCATTATCAAAAATGTCAGGATATGATTGAGTCCGTTTAAAAACAGTTTATCCGCTCTCTTGAAAGCCGTAGGATTTGCCATGGAGTACTTTTTCTTCACAAACTTCTCGCTGGTGGGGTTGATTCCACTGCCCTCAGTAGGCTTATTAGCATTTCTGTCCCTTCCCGCCCGACTGGGCAGTACTCTCCGCTTCAGCTTCAACTCTGTCTTTCTAATTACTCTCACCATGAATCTTTCCGTAGCCTTTGCCGAGATTGGAAAATACCATCGGTTGCTTTTCTAGTATGTATCGAATGGCCTTTTTTCGGACCTGAGTTCCGGTCTGCGAAACGCCTACTGATTTCTTATCGGTTTCTTACGAATATCATCCCTGATTTCCTGTCGACGGAAAATTTAGAGAAAATGTATGTGCTTTCCAAACAGCAAGTTGAGCAAGTTGTTAGAATTTGCTAAAGGTGTTATGACATTAATTAGCCTTTGCTAACTGACTAGCTAGAAAAATAGAGAAAAAATGGAAATGCAGTCATAGAAAAGTAATTGACTCAAGCTAGATTTCCATTTGAGATAGTAGCAGTCAAAGACAATACAATAGTAAGATGCGTAACGCCCATACATTTGCCATATGCAAGCAATGTTTCTGCAAGCGACGAAATTCGCAATCGATTTTTTTACTTTGCGGATACAATTTTGCTGGCTTGGTGGCTGTGTGTGCTGGAAAACATAATTTTGTCTCAAGTAGTTGTTCGACTGAAAGCCAGTAGACGTGTCTAGAGACAGCTAAGAATAATAATTTTGCATTTTGTCTTTATGCTATCTAGCTCTAGGCTTCATAAGTAAAGTCTTATATCATAGCACCTTGTGGTTTGTGCTTTTGAGCTATCGATTAATATTATAGGCATGATAATTTATTAAATGATGTATAGAATGGATAGATAATTAATTGATTAATCGGTTTTTGAAGTGATAAATCGAAGTATTCACTGTTCAATGGATTTAATCACTAACCATACAGTATACACACATTTACATAATCTCGAACAAAAATCATATACTATTTTGCGTGTTACACGAGAACACACACACTGTAGTGCTGGGGTTGCTGTCGCTCGGCTAGCATCACGTCATATGAAAGCCGAGAGTGACAACGAGCCGAGCTACGAAAACTCCCAAACCGAAGACTCTGGGTGCTCTCACGCATATTCCACTGCGACCGTTTCTGACCGTTATGTGAACTGACACATCTATCTGGTTATACTCTCTGCACACTGAGTCCATCCTGGGGGAACGGTGGGAATTTTTGAAAGATGTGAAACACCGATTCACATTGACACCATCCACCATCCACCATCCATGAGAAACAGCTGTTGCTCACAATTGCGTGAGGTGAAAACTTGTTTACTTTAATTAAAATGAATATAAATAACATTTCAATGGTCGTGAATGTGATTCAGCAGCAAAACATATTCTTGCACAAGCTAATCATGTTGTTGGACATGGACGATGATGATGAAGATAACTTTGACGAGGAGGAGATAATAGAATGGATATCTGTTTTGAAAACACTGAAGCCCGGAAGGTTGTGGTCATTTGTGAGTGCTTCTAATAAATGCAACCAATGTTTAAAGTACAAATATATATGTTATGTTTTTCAGAAGCGGTTCGGTACATTTTGGGAGAAGGATGTACCCGAAAACAACGAGGCGTTTTTTAAGGAAAGTTTTAGGATGGAGAGATCCTGCTTTTCTCTGTTGGTTACTCGCTTGGAAGTGCTACGGAAGAAGGATACAAACTGCCGAGCTGCAATTCCTCTGGAGAAGCGTATCGCCATATCTTTTTATACTTCGGGATCTTCTTCTGAAAAGAGTGTTTTTCGGAGTGTCAGCCAACAGCGTCTGCAATATCCTGCATGAGTTTTGCAGAGATTTCATCAACGAATTCTCAGAGGAATACATGTCCAAAAACTATCTCACTTCAGAGAAAATTGACGAGTGTGTCCAAGCATTTGAAGAAATTGGGTATCCTCAGTGCCTGGTGCAATTGGTAATAATGCAATAAAATCATCCATAATATATGTATATACATATATGTAAATTAATTTCATTACTTAATTTTTATGTTAGATGGATGTCACATCGAAATAAAACCACCTGCAACTGATATTTGATATTTTTTATTTTTTGCGTGCTTTGTGAGATCTGATGGGGTTATTTTGTTTTATTTTTATATTTTCCTGTCTGTCATTGTTTACATTTTCGTAGTGATCTCCGATTTTTTGTTGTGAAATATGGTTGCATTTGACAATTATCGAAAAAATACCGCACTGAAACGTGAGAATTAGGAACATCCCAGATGGATGGTGAAATAACTGGGAAATTTTCGGAACGGCAAAACCTTACGGACCATCCCAGAAATGGATGGTGGATGGTGGATGGTCCCCAGTGTGAAAAGGCTATTAGTGTCTGAGCTCTAGGCTTCATGAGTAATTTGTGGAATGTGCCCTAGTGGAACCAGGGTATTCATTCATTTAGCATGGTTAATCGGAAATACAACCCTAGTAATATAAAATACATACAGCCATCTGGAAATAAAGAACAAATACAATATCTTATGTGTGTTGACAACTTAAGAATAACCTAGATCAACGCGCCTATTTATTAATAGAGTGCTATAGTATACTGGTTGTCATGGGCAGTATTGAAAAGGCATGCATATCAGGGTTTCTTTGCCGACTATGTTCCGAAATGCACAGAACTGTAATTCATATATATAGTGACCATGGGCAACGTTTATGTCTTGTTGAAAAAATTAACGGATACCTTCCAATAACTGTACGTATTAATAGTATTAATTTAATACAAATAAATAAATACAATTTTTAAGGTAACATACGTTAAAATTTTAAAATGTGTTGATAGACAAAATAAATACCTACATATAGATTTTGCAGTATATAGACATATTTGCATTTTAACAGGTTGTGATTTAGAACATTGAGCAGCATTATTATTTTTAATTTTTTTTGTCTATAAATGTGATGTAGCCAGGACAGTTATGTTGATTATCTTTTTCATGTTCATGATTACAAAGTTTTCGTAATTTTGTATATGCTCTTTTTTACATATGTATGTATTTACATATACAGTTGTGTTCAATGAAATGATAGTGCCGCACCTCATCACTTTCAAAACCCTTTTTGAGATATTTCTAGTCTTTTAAATTGAACAAGTGATACCTTTACGGAAAGCCTGGAATGTAAGCATTAGAAACTTGAAGAAACCCCATTACATTTGCATTCTATCTTCTTGTTATTTATGACTTTAGATAACTACCCATGATATCTGCTGTTCAATGAAATATCAGTGTTGGGTTAAATTAATTTTAAAAAATGAAAAAACAAAGCAAATTAATTTAAATAAGTCACCACCCGTAAGCGCAATTTGGTTATTGAATAATTTGATGAAAGAAAGTTTTGGACAAAGCGGTACTTTTGATTTTGAAGCGTTGAAGAAATCATTGCTCCGTCCAGAAGAGGAGACCTAAGAGTTAGACTAAAAACGTAAGGCAGGAGGTATAATGGGATTGAAAATTAAGTTGTATGCACTATCTCTATTGTATTTAACCCAATTAACTAAAAGAAGTAGACTGGAAATCGATTTTGTATGCGAAAAACTTATTTTTTAGAGGATGGTCGGCAATGGTCGAAGGCAAGACCAGGCCTTTAATATCCTCAAAAATTATGAAAAAAATTTTAAATCGCTCTGTCAGTGATGTGACAGTTCTTAGACGGTCTATTATACATTATTTGAATGCAAGAAGTCCCAGAAAGCTCCGCGTTTGGATCTGAGAGTACATACATTGGTGCACGACTTCAAATTGGAAAAACGCATGTGGTCTGGCATGTGTTCACAGTGACAAAGATGCTTTTGACTGATGATAGTAAAGTTGTTTTATATGGTAAGATAGACTCAAAAGAATATGTATGGCATTCAGAGAAATCCGATTACCACCTAAAATCATGAAAAATATAGCATTGGGCATGCTAGGCTGAGCCCTATGGGGCCCAGCTCATATAAGCTAGTACTTTCTAGCCTGGCGGTTTTGAGCGAAACTGTGTATGTAAGTATACTTAAGAATACATTACATTCATATTACAGTTGAAAAATTCATGTTAAAAGGATCTTTTAACAGGATAATGACTTAAAATACCCAGAAAAGCTCGCTAGAAATTGATTTTTATCGGAAAAAATCGACGTTTTTCCATGGCCAACTGTCCAACTGGATATAAATCTCATCGAAATATTATGCTGGAATACCAAATACATTGTTGACACCGCAAATCCGTGAACCAGAGCCAAGTTTTAGCAAGTGGTTCATGGATTATTGGCTCAAATCCTATGTTCGGCCGGTGCAAGTTCGCAATGAAAACCAAATTGATTAAAAACTAAATATTAAAGCTCAAGAAACATGAAGAACATGAAATATATGTTTTTATTTGAGTTTCGTTGTTTTTTTCAATGTTCTAAAAAACACTACTATTTCATTGAACAGCATATTTCATGGGTATTCGGCTTATGTCATGTAAAACAAGAAGATGGAACTCAAATGTATGGATATTTCTTCGGTTTTCTATTGCTAACAGTCCGTTCTATTTAAAAAGGTATAATTTGTTCAATTTGGATATCTGGAAGTGTCTCAAAGAGAGTTTTGAAAGTGATGAGGTGCGGCACTACTATTTCATTGAAAACAACTGTACATACATATATGTACATTTACTATACAGTTATTAAGAGATCTTTGGAAACGAAAGAAGCAACGTCGACATTTTCAATATTTTTTCTATATAAATAAAAAAAACGAGAAGGAACGTGTGAGTCGTTTCTGGGGACACGACTCTACTTATACCCGTACTCAGTCAGTATATACATTTTTGAGCATAATTTTTTAGAATTTTAGAATTTTTCATTTTACATTTTTTTGCTACATTTGTTATCTACATCTCATCTACAATGTCTATTCTACATCTAACATGTAGATTGTACATGTACCATTTAGATTCTACATCTCCTCCGCTAGGGGTTGCTCGCGCACTGAACGCGGCAGAGTGTGCGAGCGAGAAGGAAAATGAGTTGCGTTGTTTGGAACGGGAGGGGGAGGGGAAGCAACTGAAATTGAATTTCTTCATTCTGGCTATAATTATGATCCGTTCTAATTCAGATTCGGCAATCTGGTAGATATGGGCATTCTCTACGATACTGCGTTTTTAGTTTTATCGTATCTTTAAAACTGTGCCTGCCACAGATTTTCGTCCTTTGTGTGGGCGGAAGGGGGCGGGGCGAAATTTTGAAATACACTTGTAGCAGTGTGATATCACATGAGTCTGGAAACCAAATTTGGTTGCCCTAGCTCTTATAGTCTCTGAGATCCAGGCGTCAAACAAGACGGACAGACGGACAGACAGACATGGCTCTATCGACTCGGCTATTGATGCTGATCAAGAATATATATACTTTATGGGGTCGGAAACGTTTCCTTCTCTGCGTTACACACATCCACTTTTACCACAAATCTAATATACCCCTTAACTCTTTTTTGAGTACGGGTATAAAAAGAGTAACCCCTTGAGGAAATTACTAGGTACCTATAGTCTTCCCAACTATAAACAAAAAAAATTGTTACCTTAAGGTGTCCATATTTATAAATTAATACAGTGGATTAATAATATATTTGTTTTCTCAGATTTCTCCGACTGATCCGTTGCCAAAAACCATATGTAGAACATGTTTACATCGTGTAGAGCAACATTATTCTCTTTTAATGCGGCTTACACGTATGCGAGAGGAGAGAAAAATTTTTGACTATAAACCACGCAGAGAAATGGTGAGTGAGGGGAACATACCAGATAGATAAAACTATCCTTTGTAACTCCTTTTTAATTATAACCTACTCACACTCCGACTTTCCAGTTTCTAAAAGTTTTTACTAAAAGTCTAAAACACTTGTACAGGCTCACAATCGCACGAATAAAACTACTCGACAAAATCGAACTTTTTATCCTCCCGGAACCAAACCGCGTTTTTCTGTTAGATTTGGAGCTTTGCGTTTTTTTTTTTTGAGAATTATGTTATTTTTTGTTCATGTTTTTTTTAGAGGTAGAAAAAGAAGCGTTATTTTTTTCACATAACTTATCGAAAATTTTACTTTTCGGATACAATTTTGCTGGCTTGGTGTCTGTGTTCTGCTGGAAAACATCATTGTGTGTCAAGTAGTGCCTAAGTTGTCTTAAGGGATTCTAAAACGAGGGCAAAAATTTTGGAAATCGGTAAACGTTTGACCCTCGCGCATCGAGGTCCATAGTCAAAAAAAAATAAAAAACCGGTTATAGACTGCAAATTATAAAGAATTAACGTGCAAAAACTAACTGGCAGTCGTACATGGTTATTTTTGTCAGAAAATTTCAAAGTTTCTTTTTTTTATACCAAATGTAGAAAAGAGCAAAAAGTAAAAAAAAAAATGTAATATTCGAACCGATGCTTAAAAACAAACAAAAAAGTCGATAGATCGCAAATTATAAAGAATTTACGTGCATTTTTTGCCTGTCGGATATGGTTCGTTTTTAAGGGAACTTTCAATTACCGGGCCGTCTTAAGATTCAAAAATGTTGGAATTTCAGCCCACTCTAATGTAGGTGCACCGTACAATTACTCAAAGTATTAATATTAAACCATTATTTAACCCTTTAAAGGCAAATTCATCAATATCCAGCGTGGAATGCTCTGATGAGGAGGATAACATAGCAGAAACCGTAGGCAATACAAATGGACGAGATGGAAAACACACCTCCGAGTCCATTAAATCGAGAGATACGGTTATAACTCATCGAAATAATAATGAAACCCACGATGAGAGTGGGTCTGGATCAAGGATTAGAGACGGAAAAGGTTCTGGAAGCCGTGGGACAAGGCACACAACTCCAGCACTAACGTAAAATTATGACTGTCTGACTAGTCAATGGTTTAAATATTATTATATGTATATAAACATATTAATATATATAAACAAATATGTAAACATTTTGAAAGTATAATTGCGTAAAATAGGCATTTTATTTATAGATTTGCAAGTTTGTAGCCATTAAAGAAAATCGATAAACATATATTTATTTCAAACAATTTAAAACCAAAAAAAAAGGCTGGATAGCTTGTGCTGTCCACAAGATTTGCTTCTGCACGTACAGATCGATCATTCATATAATAGCTAAATCATAACAGCGGTAGACATTTTAACTTACATCTCGAGAATTTTGAACTAACTAGACTCAAAAATAGTATTGCAAAATTATATCGATACAAAATAAGCTGAAACTTGTAAAGATGGTTGGATTATCTTAAGTAATGAATTAGTTTTTTCTCATTGTCCGTTCCCCAAGTTATGTGGAACTTCCAAGCCTATTTATATATAACTTATTTTATTGAAAATTGATGACACTAAAGAGTTCAGATCTAAAAATACAATACAACATTTTTTTAAAAATTTTAAAGTTGAAGAAACTGTAACCTTCAACTTTGGATCGCCTGTAGATAAAAATTAAGTCCTATGAAAAGTCGTACAATTCTCTTTCCAATTCATCAATTTTTGTCGATGCAGATGCCGAGTAAAAATTATGACATTCGACACAACGCACACTGGGCAAAAAAGTTAATCTAGCGGTATAAAAGTCAAACTAAGGAATTTATCGACAAAATTTATTATAAATTATTTTGTTATTTTTTATATTAAAAAGTAAAAAAAATATAATTTTTATATGCCGCATTAATTTATTGACAGTAAAAATATACAAAAATTTGTTCAGATTAAAATATGAATAATGCAAAAAATTATTCCCAATTATTCTGAGTTTGGGTTACATTTTGAAATCAAATTAACGATCACGATTTTCTAATAAAAATACCTTTTTTGATTAATATATACTAGGCTGGGCCAAAAAATATTTTTTTTTCGAAATTCAAACGGGACACCCCCTAGTTTTTTTTACCTTGGATTTAAAAGTAATTTACATGATTTAATTTTTTTTTTTAATTTTTTAGAGGTTGCTACCGAATTTTACAAAAAATGTTAATCAAGAAAATAAAAAAAAAATTTTTTTGCTGAATGAGTTGGATAATTGGTGAAGTCTATTGCATATATATTGATACCATTAATATCGTCATTAATCAGTTATTGGCAGTAAGAAACCTGCAAAAGTTTTTGCGAACAAGTTAACTAAATATATCAACCTTAGCTAAACTTCTTGATTTTCACTAATCGTTTATTTTTTAACAGAAACTAAAAAAAAAATTAAAATACCTTATTTTCAATATGAATTAGTTTCTAAGTTTCAATATTATTTGGAAAAACCGACAAATTAAATTTTTTTAATGTATATTTAGCTAAAAATTTTTTATTTTATTTTAGTGGTAGCAACCCCCAAACATTCAACTAAAAATTTGAAAAAAATTATATAATTTTATTGAATAACAAAGAATAGAAATGGGGGGGTGTCCTCTTCAAAAAACAAAAATTAATTTGTTGGTCAAATTTTGGCCCAGCCTAATAAAAACAAAAAAAAAACATAAAATCCAGTAAAGTTTTGGTAACTTACAAGCCAAATCTGTTGAGTGTAAAAAATATGGGAAAATTTTGTTAATGTACCTACGAAAACATATGTTTATTTTAAATGCTCACAGCTGAGCGTACATAAAAATTGTTTCAAAATTTGATGCCTCTATATTGGCTGTTTTGCCCAGTGGGCAACGCGGCTTTTAAATTTATAAAAAGATTTTGGGGGTATATTTTTAAATTCTAATCATCCATGCCTACAACCTAATTTCAAAGTCTCTATTTTGTCACACAGTGTAATTAATAACACTACTCGACACGATTTTTCACCCAAGAACCATTTAGATAGATAGATAGATGATAGATTTTGAGCTTTGAAATAGTTTGATGAGCCTTTTTATACCCGTACTCGAAGAGTATTGTATTTGTGGTAAAAGTGGATGTGTGCAACGCAGAGAAGGAAAAGTTTCCGACGCCATAAAGTATATATATTCTTGTTCAGCATCAATAGCCGAGTATCTGTCTGTCTGTCCGTCAGTACGGACTGACTACCGACTTGTTTTATGAAGTCTAGTGTAAGTATGTTATGGCAAGACGGGAGCTCAATAAAAGCCCGCTCTTTGCGAGTTCGCCCCGCTTTGACACCATAGTTAACTAGGCTTCGAGAATATGTATGGAGTTTTTTTGAATACAATCGTTAAATGGATCTAATCGAGCGGACAAAAAAGTCTGTTCTAGAGCATGCCAGCAGGCTTAGCGAAGCCGTACCAACAAGGAGCGAAGATGATAATTATCTATTATAAGACAACAAAGTATTTGGGGTAGCTTGGGTCCTTTTATAGGGATATAAATAATATTTTAAGCAAAAAAAAAACACTATAACACTGGCAAATTTTCAGGACAAACCGAGGGGGTTGGATAGGAGAGGGAGGCAGGGGGCGGGGCCAAGTATAAAATTACACCGGGGGGGGCGGGGGGCCGGGGGAACTCAACCGCGGTAGCGAAATCACAAAGTATTGGCTTACTTAACAACCAGATGAAAGATACTAGAGTTATGTGAAAAAAACAAGCGCTACCTCTGAAAAAAGCTTAAAAAAAATACCAGACTTCAAAAATTCTTCAAAAAAAAGTTCTGCCATAGAAAAAAAACCATAATTCTTTAAAAAATTTTAAAGCCCCATATCTATCAGAAAAAGTCGGTTTGGATCCTTGAGGAAAAAAAAAGTTCGGTTTTGTCGAGTAGTGTAATCATTATTTTTTAGTTGAATTTATTTGATACAAATTAATGATTATGTGTAAAGTTTATTAAATTACTTAAAATGATTACACTACTCGACAAAATTGAACTTTTTATTTAGGCTGTGAACCAAAATGACTTTTTCTGATTGATTTCGGGATTTTAAAATTTTTGCAGTACTTTTTTTTTTAAGTATTTTTAAAATCTGGTTTTTTTTTAATGTTTTTTTCAGAGGTAGTGCTTCTATTTTTCACATAACTTAAGTATCTTATATCTGGTTGCATAGAACTTTGCAGTTCTGAAAAGCTGACAAATGCAGCTATAAATCGGACCCAGGCACTTTGTATCTGCAGCTTAATGCCTGGAAGATATTAAGCTTTCAGATTCAAATTTTGACTTTAAAAACTCGGGAAAAGTCGAAAAAAAATAATTCTTGGCATGCATTTTTAGTTTTAGATAGACGCATTAATTAGGCGTCGTTTAAGGTATTGTTCATTAAAATCTATGGATAAACGGTCAACTTGCAGTATATTGTATTTGTGGTAAAAGTGGATGTGTGCAGCGCAGAAAAGGAAACGTTTCCGACCGCATAAAGTGTATATATTCTTGATCAGCATCAATAGCCGAGTCGATATGGTCATGTCTGTCTGTCCGTCCATCTTGATGAGCGCCTTGTTCTCAGAGACTGTAAGAGCTAGAGCACCCAAATTTTGATTCCAGAATCATGTGATATCACACTGCTAAAATTGTATTTTAAAAATTCGCCTCGCCCCACAAAGTACGTAAATCTGTGGCTGCCACAATTTTAAAGAAACCATAAAGTTAAAAACATTTTTGTACAGAATGACGATCTCTACCAATTGCAAAATATAAATCAGATCGGATCATAATTATAGCTAGAATGAAGAAATTCATTAGTTGCTTCCCCCACCTCCTCCAGGAAGAGACCACGCTACTCATTCTCTTTCTCGCTCGCAGACTCTGCCTCGTTCAGTGCGCGAGTGCCCGCTAGCTGCGAAGATATATAATCTAAATGGTACATGTATATTCCACAAGTTAGATGTTAGAATATATATTGTACATAGCAGGTGTAGCCAAATTGTAAAACGTAAAATATTTTTAAATTCTACATAAATCATAAGATCAAAAAGTAGAGTGGCGTCCCCAGAAGCGACTCACAAGACCCATCTCGTTTTTTAAATATAACTTATAATTATTACGGTCCCTGATATATATTAAATCTATATATACACTAAGGGGAAAGCCCCCTGCTCACTCGCTTCGCTCGATCGCCAACCCCCAAGTTATAAAGTTATTTATTTTTCTTAATTTAAAATTGATTTTGGTTAAAAATTTTCATCGTTTTATTCATATCCATAAAACACATCTCGTATATGTTACTCCCAAATTTAAATGTGTGCATGAGGTAATCCCCTATCTTTGCGTACATGTCGACTATAAATTGTTGGCACAGCTCACGACATTGTAGAATAATGTTATTCTCACCGCGTCGAATCATCAAGATGTTTGAATCTAGATGCGTGCCGATGAGCAAGCTGTTCAATGGTTCCGGTTGTGTGTCAATTTCAGGTAGTTGCCGTTTTCCTGATGTGCAGCACATACCACTTGACTCATGTTTATATTTGAGTGCGTGATGATGGGGACATTCATTGTCCATAGCACCAATCAAAACTTTCTGATGTGCGGAATTTTCAATATCTGGATCGTCTGCGAATGCAAGATGAAGGAACGAAGCAGATGTAAGTACTCTGTGTACTTGTTGGCGTTCTCGGTCATTTTCTCTGATATTGTCAATTATATAGCGGCACCCACGTCTCCGTTCCAATTGTCTTTGTTCATTTCGTACCTCTAGTAATCGAGATTCGTTCGACTGTTATTTCTGCTCTACTATGTCGCATGAATGTTGCAGTATTTGTTTGACGGTGCAACTGGGACTCCCTGCGTCTTGGTGGCGTCTTCACTGTATAAACACATAAAATTGAACAAATAAAAAAAAAAATAAGAAACAAAGAAAGATATTAAATCGAGACTATCAGGCAGTCTCCGGTTTTAACAATTACTTTGTGGTTTACTTTTCAGCAAAAATTCATTTCAAGGCGCTCTGGAATCGACAAAAGTCGATTGTACGACATACCTTCATACGGGCGCTAAGATGACTTTGTAAATAAGGATCTTGTTGGATAGGCGTTGCTCCAGCATTTCACCGGGTAGGAAGACTCCGGGGCACGTTTTTCTTCGGTGCGTGTGGGTCACCACCACGCACTTCTCCGGGTTCACCTAGACATTCCGTCGACACGCCCAGTTCTCAAATTGATTCAGGTAGCGCTGAAGTTTGTCTGTGGCATATAAGCACAGTCTTGACAGTGCCGTGTCGTCTGCAAAAGTTGCAGAAATACGAAATGACTTCAACAAACTGGCAGCCAATTTATGAATAGCCCGCCGAAAGAATCCTAACGTCGACGGCTCTGACCATGCTGTCCTCGCTGGTATGCGTGGCGTTTATCGTCCCCAGAAGCCACTGCTGCTGAGGCATGTTGTCCTCGGCCACGAGGACGAGGTCTCCTTTTTTGGTGTGGGGCTTCCGCTGGGGCCTTTTGTCCTGAATTAGTAGCCCCAGGACATATTCTCGGTTGCTTGTTGGCCTTTCGCGGGCTGTCTAACCTTAGTATTGTTGTATAAAATAGTTCTTTCAAGGGCTGTCAATCTTGTGCTAATTAAACAAATAATATAAGTAAAATAGTTGAATATCAACTATATCAGAAGTGTAGTTTCTGCTTATTGTTATCTAGTGCAAGGTTTATTCATTAAAACAAAAAGTGATACCTTAATGGCAAAGTGAAATATTAAATCAATCCTATTCCTTGGGTCTGAATAGTACATAAAGATAGTTTTCAAATATGAATGAGAAAGAACGTGAGTCCGTACGAAGGAAAAATACGAAGCATCC